CCTTGAGGACAAGGTGATTCTTTGGGAGGCCAGTAATGTTACGCTTGGACCGGTCCCAGCTGGACCGGTTCGGTTCTACGCCCGGCGGTCTAAAGCCAGGCGGAACCTGTTCGCATAATCGGCGGAAGAGAGGCGGGCTAGGGAGCTTTCGAGCGTTTCGTTGGAGGGAAATTTTGAATGAGGGTGTTTATGTAATTTGTATCTTTCCTTTTGCTTTAATTAGGGAGATGGGGGGAAATTAGGGGCTTCTTGAATTTGAGTTTTCTCTTTGAGATCTAGGTTTTCTTGCTTTGGCTCTTGGCGTTGCCGGAGATTGGAGAGTTGTTCTTCCTCTCGGATTGAAGAAAAAATTGATCTTTGCTATTTTCATCGTCTACTAGTGAAATACAAGCCGTTGTTGGAGTTTAATCTCAGTTTTTTCGCTTTCTCTCACTGTTTTCGTGCAAAAACTGCTGTCTCGTGGATAAAAACTGCAGTTTTTATCTTGTTCTACTTCAGATTTGGGCTAGCAACTACTTGAAATCAAGTATTTCCTATCAGTATACTCTCCTAGTTTCGGTCAGGAGAATGAAAAAGGAAGATGAGATTTAGATTCCCATGCAATGAAGGGAGGGAGAGAGAGGATGATTGTTAGTTGATTTTGTGTCAACAAGCAAGATGAAATGAACCTAGGATTTTGATACTAAGATCAGCTATTGATTAAGAAATAGACTTCTTGTTGTGAATATTCCTTGAACAATCAATTTATCATGCATGAAGGAAGAGAGAGAGAATGAATGTTTGTTGATTTTGTGTCAACAAGCAAGATGAAATGAACCTAGGATTTTGATACTAAGGTTCTTGATTCATGCAATGAAGTGTTTGTAGCATTGGGGAGGCTCCAAACATCATGCATGGGAAGGAAGGATGATTTTTCATTGATTTTGTGCATCAATAAACAAATCATGCGAATCTAAGATTTTGACCTTAAGATTTTGCTAGTGCTCTTTTGAGCTCTCTAGAGGTCACTTGGGAACCTTTATGTGGACTTAGAAAGCAACAAGCAAGGATATCATGTGTCGGTTTTGTGTTCTGACAAATGAAATGAAATAACTTAGAGTTAAGTTCTAAGTTTAGGAGCTTGTGATATGATATATTGAGTATTTGGGGAAATTCACAACACCCTACACAAGGTAGATCAATGATGACTCCTAAGGGATGCTAGGATTCATGCAATAAAACATTTGGAGCCTTGAGGAGGCTCCAAACATCATGCATGAGAGGAATGAGTATATGGAAGAGATTTTCCTATTCTTCCATGAATGTTTTCAATTCATTGGAAAAGAGGAGATTGATTCCTAAAGCTTTGGAGGAGCTTTAAATCTATTTCGACATGATTAGAAGACATAGGAGTTTAGACATGTGTTGATTGAACTACAAATTTAATAATTCTTTATATGTTTTGGTTGCTTGTTGCTTTATTTGGCCACTTCAATTGAAAAGTTGCATGAATAAACTTACATAATTCCAAAAGAAAAAAAGGATGGGGTATCATATGGACCTTTGAGAGTACATTGCATACCTCTAAATTAGCTTTACAAATATTTGGAATTAAGTGAGCATATTCATGAACTTTACGATTTCACACTCTATGTTTGACAAAAATATCAATCATCAATTTGATTGATCATATACATTATGGGATTTGCAACGTAGGTCTTTGAAGCATACAAGAAATCTCACAATGCTTTGATATCATATGCATAATTTTCAATCAATCAAACCCATCATGATATTCACCAGGTCATAGAGGCTATCGATTCTTTTGTATGCAAATTCTCCTAAATTTTGTCATGACAATTTTTAATTTGAAGACTTCATAAATCTGTTCAAACAAATTCAAGGTAGCATAAGGCATGGCTTATTGACTTTTAAAGGTTTAAAGAACACCATGAATTAATCTCACAGACATCTAGAATCAAATTGAACATATTCATAAAATTTACAAATTTTGGAAAGTGAAGAACCTAGCAAGAGGGCCACAATTCTTTTTTTTTTTTTTTTTTTTTTTTTTTTTGTAAGATTAATTTTGGCATAATCTAATACCTAAACAATTATGTAATTCATTTGTTCAAATGCATAGTCACCAAATTTGAATATGATGATGACGAAACCTAAGTTGGTTGTAGGCGACAGATTGGAGAGTGATATGAATGCTAAAACATGCATTTGGAAGGTATTTGACACCGATCCAACACCACACATACGTCACCATCCTCCTCGGGCTCTCACATGAGAGAAAATAAGTGGAAATCACCGGATTTTTACTGTTTGCGGAGCGGACAGCAAATAGGGGTTTATTTTTGGGTTTTGAAAAGCAAAGCGCAAGGGTTTCTTTGGACTTATGGCTTTAGAGCGTCGAACACAACTCAAATGGCCAAAAGACCTAGGGATTTCCTGAGTTTTGGGGAATTTTATATCGCCGAGTAGGTCTCGGCGCAGCTCACTATCCACTCACCTTGTAAAGGCGAGATTGAGGAAGAATGGAAGGCGGATTTGCTGTCCAAAAGCTCTGGATTGTTTCCTTCACTTGCTTGAATACACCCAGAAGTTGATTTCACTTTCACGATCCCACCGGGATGAAGAAGAGAGGAAGAAGAAGCTCCAAATCTTCACTGGCTGAGGGAATAGGGGAGTTACAGCAGCTTATGCTCTTGATTTTGGGACAAGAGCTGAATAACAGCAGCTGCAAGGGGGAGAACCCTCGCCTACGTAATGTCTCCACCAATCTTTAGAAGGTAGAATAACGGCAGGAAGAGGAAGAAGGGGAGGGCAGCAGGTGAAAGACTCCTCTCGATTGGCTATGTCAAGTGCACATGAGATTAGGAAGGCACAAAGGACGCAGCTATTTCGGGCTGGTTCAGTCAGATGGGATGCACACGCTCGGTCTCCCTCATCTTCTGTTCTGGACAGACAAAAAAGGCCGAACGTCGGCCTCCTTGCTCGGGTTGGACGGACGCACTGAGGAAGCAAAGCTAGCTCTCCCTCACCTTCGGTTCTACTCGGTATGGACACACGAAAAAGAAATGTCTGCTTCTCCTTCTCTAGGTCGAACATGCGGAGCCCTTAGACCATCTCCAACCGTTCGGCAAACAGCCGAATGGAGGCCCTCAAACGTCGCAACCAAACGTCATTTCTTCCGCCATTTAACCGCAGTTGAACAGTGCCACGCCAATATTGGCGTCGCACTGTTCACTTGCGTCATTTCTTTCTCTCTACCGAACTCGTCTGAGAAAGGCGCGAAAGAAACGAGGGATGATTTGGGGGTAAAATGGCGTTCCACTGGAGATGAATCACGACACTTTTTGAATTTACTGCATTTTGCAGTGAAAAATGAGAATTTCGGTTGGAGATGCCCTTAGCCGACGCCTGCTCTTGCTCTTCTCTCAGTTGGGGGTTCACGTAAGAACAAGGGAAGACCAAATAGAAAGACCTCCCGCTTTACTCCATACAGAAAATGAGAATGTTGCTCGATAAAATTTCCTTGCTCTCAAATACCTTCCTCAACCGCATAAATCAGCAGGAAAATGGGGAAAAGATTTGTAGCAGTTGCTCTTTGAATCATAGCCATTATATCTGATTTCCTTATTTCGGGAAATGATTAGAAATGGCTAAAAAATCAATTTAACCTATTTGGGATTAAATTGAACTTGAATTAGGTCAATTGAGTTGAAATTGGGCCCAAATTGAATCGGAATTGGATCGAATTGAGTCTATTTAGGTTCGATTGGGTCCAATCGAATCAATTTTGTGAAATTGAACATGAATCGACAGCGAATTGAGTCAAATTTGGTTCGACAAGGCTAAATTGGGTTCGATTTGGACCGATTTTAGTCGATCTTGATCGATTTCATTTTGGATGAAATTGAGCTTAATTTGACTCAATTAATGTCCGATTAGGGTCAAATTTAGTTCGACGATGCTCGATCGAGTTGATCGAGCGCACTCGAGCCCAATCGGGATCAAATTGGCTCAATCAGAGTAAGGTCGACACGAAAAAAAATGTCAATAGATTTTAATTACCGCCTAGATAATTACATGGAACAGATTTAGTTGGTGAATAACGTAAACCAACTTCTGATATGGTGTTAAGGAAGGACTCAAGCTCAAAGATAACTAGATCTAAAAAAATTATCAACAACAAGAATGATGCTACGGGTCATTAAAAGGCCAAGATGCCTTTAAGGGAACATAACTCAAATTTAACATGTCCAAAGCATTAAATGATCCCTCCCCCTTCTCTCTCTCCTCTCACTAGCACTCCACCCATTATCCTACATAATTTTTATCTTCCCCCATTGTCATTCTCACCACTCAAGTTCTTTTCCATCTTAAATGAATACTTTGGAGGTTGAACCAAGTGGGAAGTGAAATGGAGGGCTCTCGCTGTCTCAACCTTCACCATGAACATTCAAGTAAATTAGGTGAAAATAGCTGCCTTCCCTCTCCTTATATTTCTTTATCTACTTCAATTTCTCTCACTCAAATGAATTTACGAACTTGCATCTTGTGGCTATAATTCTCAGCTAAAAAGGGAAGCTCTTGAAAGCGTGATAATTTATTATTGCTTGATTGTAGTAAGCAGTAGGTTTGACTAATTCTGGATTTTGGGATTTTAATTTATGATACTTAATGTTTCTTTCTTGAATATATGAACCTTTATCCCGTCTTCCCATCAGACCATAGTTTTCCCTCCTACATTGTGCATGTGAACATATCCAACATAAGAATTACTCATATAAAAAATATAAAATTAAATTGACCTATTATGAGAATTACTCATAATAAATGGGCACACAGATGAGGAAAAAATCCCATAATATCATAATCAACTTGATACATTCATCATATAAGGCAATAGAAAGTAAGAATATGCATTAGAAAGTAAGAAAAAGAATAATGTCAAGTGTCAAGAATAAAATTAACTATGAAGAAATCAGCAAGTAATTGGCTCAAACTACCTCAACATGTGCTTCTGAGCTCACATCATTAGCATATTGAATAAGATCAAGCTCCAATTTAGATTTGAAAACTCGGCATTCAGTCAATATCGGATGAAGAGTGATTAAATCAGTCTCAAACTTATCCATCTCCTACAGGTAGTCATGACATGATAGAATTCAGACGATTTAAAACATCAGAGATTTGACATCTGGAACTGCTTTGAATTTTAGAAATATTATCAGGACAACATATTCAAATTTCAAGGTAGTGAGAGAGTAGATACGGTGATAAAAATAGAAATGAAAAGGCAATGAATATTTTAAAACTAAAACATGCTTTCTCTATCTAGAATTAGGAAATACCTGCTATTGACAAAAATTAAATAAAAACATAGCTGAAGTAAGAATATCGAAAGTGATATGGCCCTAAAAAATAGCTTTCGATTAATTCTAATAAATTGATATCAAGGACCTCAATTTTCTTACTTAGACATAATTTTTGAGAAAAGAGGTTCAGATGGGATGATAGTACTTATAACACCTATGTCACTCAATTACATCATGATTGAGGTTGATCCCTTGAGCAACATTAATGAAGCACGCAAATTGACATGAATCTTAATAATCCTAACTCCTATGCCACTCAAGCACACCAAGATTCACATTGATCCTTCAATCGACCTTATTGAAGCAAGCGCATCACATGAATCTTGAGTGCCAACATTAGCCTAGTCATCTAATGCATATCACCATCGAAACCATCGGTGCAACTCAAATATCAAGGCTAAAACTCCATCGATCATGATGGCACAGTAAGGATCTCATAGGAAATGTTGCTTCATTCTACATCCTTTAATTGATTTAAGGTCCAAAATGCCTTCAACTAAGTGGCATTTTGATTCAGCGTGAATCTCAGAATCTATATGGATCATTGCTTAAATTTTCGTAATAAGAAACATGCCTCAAAGCCTGCCTTAGTGCAATTTAAAAAAAATGTCATGAGACATACATCTCACCATATCCCGATGAGGCATACCTCTACGCAATTCATAAGAGTCAACAGCCTAGAAAACTAAGGTTTAGGTGATTTAAAAAGATTAATTTATAAGTTCAATATACAAAATAATTCCTATTTTGTTATTTCTCTACAACTAAATCTAAAACAAACATAATTGAGAACCTGAATAATGCACACCTCCTAGACTACTAGCCACACGTTGCACTTACACCTGATGTCGCATGCACTCACAACCAGATGATGGAGGAGCAAAAGTAACTCACTATAATGATGATTCTAACAAAGACCCACTAAGTGATAAGATTATGAGAAACTTTTCAATTTAGAAATAATAATCTTAATGACTTGGACGACTTGTTTAAGTTAAATTGGAGTGGGAAAAACTTATTGTCATGATCTTACTTTGACTTATTATGATCTTTACTTCGATGTTAGCATGTTATTTATTATTTCATATTTTTAAGTGAAGAATCTATCAGGATTGAAGGGTGCAATAAAGATATCAAGGCATATTAAATAGTTTAGATTATATGGTTGTCAATGTTGTAATTAATTTTGATTTAGAATGATTCTTACGCTAAAATATGCTTAAACATATATCAAATACCTAAAATATTATTTTCAATATTCAAACATATTAACAATATAACATGTCTGAGAGCTAATTAGGAATATGAGTATATATAAATATATAAGAAGGTAGTCATTTTAATATTCATTTCCCATCACCACTTAAAATCAGAGACAATAAAGCAATGAACATGCATGGTCCCCATGACAAATAAGCTCATCTTGACCTAGCTTATTTTCATTGGGTTTATAAATAGACACCCATTTCCACTTCATTTCAAAAATTGCAAAAGGGAAAGAGTGTGCTTAAATGTCTCATTTCAGAAGAGTTTTTGTGTGTTAATAGAAATCATTCCTAGAGTTGTTGCAACCGATTTTTCTCTTTACAAAGTTTTGGTGTTTTTTTTCTTTTCTTTCTTGTAATATTATATAGAGATTGAATGTTGTATTCTTGCATCCACTATTTCTTGTACGCCCGTAAGAAGATAGTGGAACCTCACAAATAATTAAGGAGATTGCTTGTTTTTCTCTTTTCAATGTTTTGGAATTTTCCTTTTCTTTCTCGTAGTCTTTTATAGAGATTGAATGTTGTGTTCTTGTATCCACTAATTATACACCCCATTAAAAAACTTGAGAAGGAAGTGGTACCTCAAAATAATTGAGAAATGAGTAGTCCTAGCTCTTAGAATAATGGGTTCTAATCCTTAAAGGATATGAGGGTATGGTTCTACTCAGTGAATGTGAAGGATAGTATGAAGGTACAAATTTTCTCTATCAGCATTATGTAAAGGAGGGAGAATAGCGAATTTCACAATGCATAGGTGCTAAGGAAAACCACATAGGTGGTTGGAGCCAAACCTAATAAATTTGTTTATTTGCATACTCTTGGTCTTTACTTGCATTTAATCTTTACTTCTAAGTTTATGATGTAATCGGTATGACTAAATACTTATCTAGTAATCCGGTCAAGTGGTGAATTTCAATATTGTACTTAAAGCATATACCGCTCACTAGTTAGCATAATATCACATGATTACCATTATATTTTGCATGCACTTATGGTTTGTGCTAGATAACATATTTGTGCTATGATTTAGTATTTTTTATTGACTAGAAATAGTTTGCAAAAACTCTAGTAGTGATAGTTCACAACTCAATTACACCCCGTTGGTGTGTCATAACACAACCTTTTTATGCAGAGATGCATGCATACGTACATATAAACCAAATGAACATTCCTCCTACTAAAAGGAGAACAATTATTATCCTCATATTTAGATTTAGATCTTATAACTTTTAACTTTTAAATGTAACATCAAGTCCACTCATTCTCTTTTACATCATTAAAACTAGTAGCATACATTCTCCTCTGATTTGGATTTCAATATTATAACCCTTGCATGTAAAATCAAGACCGCTAACTATCCTTTAAATCATTAAAATTAGTGCAAAATATAGTTTAAAAAAATTTAAAATTATTTGATAATTAATTGAATTCATCAAAGTATTCAAAATGGATGGCTAATTGTATGAAAAGATAATTTTAACTTATAATGTGCAGTCTTTTGAATGACATGGAATTTAAAATTTGGGTTACTGATAATATTTATAAGGATTCCAATGGTTTTGACCAGCTAAATAAATGATAAAATTAGATTTTTAAGTAATAATCTATATATTGTCCAATCATCCTTATTTTTCATGTCAATGACTAAAATTGATGAACCTAGAACGATTAGTAATTCTCATGACATGCATGAACATCAACTTGAGTTTGAAGACCCTATGAGAAAGAAGAAACAATGACAAAATAAAAAGAATAATGATTACTATACACCAAGGAGGAAATGTATTATATATGCAGACACCTTAAACTCTGCCGGCTTGGAGAAGTTTTTGCTATCAGTGTTTAAACCATGCAAGAGGAAAAGTAAAGGTTTTCCTGATTCCCCGTCTAAATCATACAGAACTTGTGCTATCTCATCTACAAAGTAAGTCATATCAACCATGTATCTTTCCTGCAAGCATAAAAAGTGATGTTTAATATTCCTGACTACAAACCAAATTAGGCATATAAAATTTAAAATTTAAAAAAAAAATCACCCAATAAATAAAAATTACCTTAAAGTAAGATAAGGCCTTTATCTCACCTAACCAAACAGCATATTCAGCAGGCAACCGTGGTGCAAACAAAACTGACTGCCCTGATAAAACATCCTTTGAAAACAAAATTCGATCAGCAATTGGAGAATAAGCTGACACTCAAGCTAGATTTTATAAGAAAAATCAAAAGCGGCAACGAAGTCTTTGAATATGTTTAACAGTATTTGTGAAGAATTTATACAGACAGTAAGAAAATGAATAGCCCAAAATGCTTAACATTTGTCAAACTGTTGTTGATGTTGTAGGGGTAAGGTGATGTTAATTTCATTGAAAGAAAGGGCACTCAATTCAGCTAGGAATTTTGACTTTATATTCCCATAATAGTAGAATTTGAAAAAATATGCCCATGGTTTGTTTTCTTGTAAAAATATGCCCAAAAATTCATTTTGTATCAACCCTATTCTTTGAACATGTGTTTATTTGAAGTCTGCTATAACAAACATTAATTCGAACAATATTATAGCAAGGTTAGGGTCTATGTATGAACTAAGTTCAAACTATGTTCTAGCAAGGTTTGAATATGATTCTAACATGGATCAAAAAATAGATCAAACATGGATCAAATAGGTTAGAACATGGATTATAACATAGCATGTTATAAATTTAATATAACAGAGTAAATACAATCACTTATAAGAGAGATAATAAAATAGTCATAACACAACAAAATGTATTTTAAGAGATACAACACAAAAAACATAACACGACATGCAATGCAATTGTATGCAATTGTGTACAAGAGCTACAACACAACATCCATAAAACAATAGATGTAAATTTAGGCATAATGAATGATGGACTAATTAAAGAATAATGTACACAAAGAACTAATGTTTACAATAGAAATAATGTTCATCCCTCCAATCAAGAACATAATAGAGTATCCCTCCTCATCATCAATGCCCAACCTCTAATAGTTGATAAATTAGGGCCCTAAAGAACAGCACTTTAGGAGTTCTGAACTGATCAAAGGGGATCTCGCAACCTTGACAAGGAGTTCATTGACCTCAATTTGTCTAAACTCATTTCTCCATCAACCTCCACCTCACTATATGACTCGAGTACTGTAATGTCTCTCATTTGATATGATTATAGCAAAGATCTACATATATAACAAAACAATTCAAACAAACAAAATAAACTAAAACATCGTTCAATTATGGTCGAATCATAAGTAAACCGTGGCCGAACTATCTTTAAACTATCCACAACCCTAGATCAAAGCATGATCAAATCATCGTTGGCCATCATTCAAACAATCTTTGAGTCGCGATCAAACCATCTTCAAGCCATGTATAAACCATCTTCAAATTATGATCAAACATGGATTGAACCATCTTCGAACCATGGTTCGAAGATAATTCAATCATGATTCGATCTTACTTTGAAGATTATTTAAATCATGATTGAAGATGTTTTGATCATGGTAAGATCATTGTTCGATTATAGTTCAAAAAGTGTTCGACCATGGTTCAATAAAAGTTCAAAAATGGTGGAGTTTGAAGAGGGTTCTACAAACTTTGCATTAGCTAATATGATGTCTAATGAAATTTTGAGTTTAAGATTTACTCATACATATAAATAGTACAAAATAACGTGCATCATCAAGCCTGACTTGACACAGCACATCCCCAATATCATTGTTTAGCACTGTGCACATGTTGAAATATCATTCAATTATAGTCAAATCATAATCAAACCATGTTTGAACCAAGATTGAACTATTTAAACTAACCTCAACCCTAGATCAAATCGTGATCAAATCATCTTTGGTCATCATTCAAACAATCTTTGAGCCGAGTATAAACCATTTTCAAATTATGATCGAACATGGATTCAATCATCCTCGAATCATGGTTCAAAGATGGCTCAGTCATGATTCGGTTGTACTTTGAAGATTATTTAAATCATGATCGAAGATGGTTTGATCATGGTAAGATCATTGTTTGATTATAGTTTAAAAAGTGTTCGATCGTGGTTTAATCAAAGTTCGAATATGGTGGTAGTTTGAAGATGGTTCTATAAATTTTGCATTAGCTAATATGATGTTTAATGACATTTTGAGTTTAAGGTTTAGACATACATATAAATAGCACAAAATAACACACATCATAGAGCATGACTTGACACAGCGCACCCCCAATGTCATTTGCTTAGCACTACGCACAAGGTGAAAATGGCGAGCGCTATTTGTGAAATGCATGGGAAACAGTGCATATTGCAAATCCCTCATATTGTGTGCTATGTTAGTTTTTAGGATTTAAAATTTAAAATTATTACTTGTACATAATATATATTTATTAGTTTTATTTATTTTTTCAATTATGAACCTTAGCACTATAAATGAAAATATATATTTTTATTTTTATAGGTATATTAATAAAATTGAAGTTAGAGAGGCTTTAAAGAAAATGAAGTGTGGAAAAAATATTGGACCTGATCTATGATACACTGACACACCTCCAGCATAGGGAATGCAGTGTTCGACACGTGTCAGACACAGACACGTGCCCGACATGATTGGGACACGATGGATGTGTGTCCGATTAAAATAATATTTAAATTAAAACGAGCATGCATGTCGGACACGTGTCATAATATTTGATAATAAAAATATTTTTAATTCAAAATTTTAACATTTTAATACTCTTTCAATCAAATAAAACACATCCCATATAACGCCTGTCCCTATTCATGCCCCTGTAAGCTCTAGAGTGTCGCTTCTCACGATCCTTCTCCCTAGTCTTCTTCGTTTACGCGACCAGGAGAGCCTACCGAGTGGAGAGAGCGATGATAGAAGCCCAGTACATCATTTCTGCTCGGCCAAGCAAAGCTCGTCTTTTCCATACCTTCGTTCTTGCATTATTTCTGCTGTCATTCGAGGCAAAGTTTGCAATCAAGGCCAAACAAAGCACCTTCTGCGCGCAAGAGAGCCAAGAACTGTAAGTGGATTTCGCCATTTCTTCTGTTCATTGTTGAAAAACCTGCTGTACATGCTTCGCCATTCTTCTGTTCATTTAACCACAACTTGAATGACAACCTGTAGGGTTTCACACTCTGTAGCAAGCAGGACTCCTTTAACAAATCAAAAGTTATGACAAAATTAACTTAAAGATATAGGAGGCTTGCATTGCTACGACACTTATAATTTTCTGAAACTTTGCTAAATGTCCAAGTATGTGTTTCAATTAATTTTAAATTTTACTAGTGGAGTCTTTCATGAACATTCATGTTTATGTTTCAAATCTCATGATGAAAAGTTTGATTGAAACCATCCTTGATGTTTCTTCAAATTTAGAGAGTAGAAGCAAGTAAAATTTCCAATTCAAATGTTTGCACACTTAATCAAATTAGTTTGCATCACTCAAATCAAAATATATGCATGTGTAGGTCCTAAAATGTTGCAAGATGCACTCACTTGTGTCCTACTCTCATATCATGACAAAATTTATATAGATTATAGAAGCATGCCCATCTTGGAGTTTGTAGCTCTTTACAAGTTTTGGAAAAAACACATAGGTGTGTTGACCTGTAATGCGGAATCAAAAAAAAAAAATCAATCACTAATCTCACTTACCTGACTGGCGTCGACTCACACGATCTCAAAATCCCGAAAATCCTGCATCATGGCTTCGCACGTCGACGACGAGTTTATACACGACCCTCGCATGATCTCTGCTACGGACTCGACCCTACCTCACGTCGTTAAAGCCGAACGAAATGAGAGGCCTCGACTTCTTCTCGCAAAATCCCCCACGCCAGAAAATCCCGAGCTCCCTCCATCTCTGGTTGGCTCTCAACTTTCTCCCTGTTGGGTGCTTCTTCGGCTACCTCATCACTGATCGACTTCGTGCCTTCGACGACATTCCCATCGAGTTTGATCGGAAGCCCAAATGGGATCTCGCTTGCTGTGACGGTAAATTTCTCCCTTCCCACGGGATCGGAAGTTACGATATTTTAATCGAAAGCAATGAGAGTCGCTCGCTGTAAGGACGACTTTCCCTTCCCGTCGGATTGAATGTTATAGCATTTTGATCGGGAGCCAGAGCAAGAGCTCGCCGCTATGAAGGTAACTTCATCCCTGTCGTGCGCTACTCCGGCCAAATCCTGTCAATCCGCCGTGCCAACGGATCTTTTTTAATTATAATAATAATAATAAAAGATGAAAAGAAAAGAAGGCCGCTTCTCTTGCCTCACCTCCTCCCATGAGCCTCCCTTGCCTCGATCCACGAGCCATTGTCGGGCATTAAGGTATAAGTTCATAACTTAAACCCCGTCCTCGACGTGCTTGACACGCCGGTGGACCCCCTATACGTGCTCTTGTAGCACGGTGGGAGGGAATCCGGTGCAACATGCGCGACGAGGCGGGTAAGCCCTATATACGCTCTTGTAGCGTGGTGGGGACAATCCTCGACCTCGACATCGACACCGCTGACGACTGCTACGCAAGGTATGATGTTCTAAAATCTCATTCTCAGCGTTTGAGGCGAACCGGGGAACCACCTATGCGCGCTATTATAGCACGGTAGGAGGGAGCCCGGTGCGACGCATATGACGAGGTGGGTAAGCCCCATACACGCTTTTGTAACGTGGTGGGAAGAGCCACTGGTGTTCTGTATGGGTACTGTTGAAGGCCCCATACACTCTCTTGTAGCGTGGTGGGATGAAACGATGTATGGCCGCAGTGTCTAAGGACACCTACCACACACGCTCGAGTTGCGTGGTGGGAAGGCCCACCTCCCTACATTTCTCCCAAACTGGGGATATGCCGGAGTGCTGCCGAAATTTTTACTGAAATGCACAAGACTTGAACAATTTGAAGACATCATTTGAGCAGCAATACGAAGGACAACAAAGGACTCGTACTTGAACTGAAAACATAAAACTTAGACTCAAATAAACAATGGACTTGTGGACCTAAACCTGAAAAAAATTTAAATGATTTCTAAATGTCAACCCCAAATGAAATAAAATCAAATTGGAACCAAAATGCAAATCAATTTGAATATTCAGTTGAACTTGCAAGGACTTCAGAAGACCCTGGACAATCACTG